AGTATGACACTAATTATGGGCTCTCGCGGCCTCTGTGCTGTCTGATTAACGTGTGTGGTGGGCCAATCTAACCACTGCATCGATCCAGCAGCGCAGGCCCGTGTGATGGCCTTGCTATATACTCAGCACAACCCAAAAGTACTGTCTCATTGCCAGGTCGCTTAATGATAGCAGACTTGCTGAGGACATAGCAGATCGTTGCCGTCGGTGTTCGCGTGACGATCTTCAACATTTTTTTTTAAATTAATAGAGGACATTATCTTGTAAAAGTGATTTTTAGTCATAACACACGTTTACAGTGCATAATTGCCAACTCTACATCGGTTACGGAATGAAAGTACCACCGCTGCCCGCCCGGTCGGTCAGTTATCAAACTCGGGACCCTTGTTTACTGCTGGTGGACAACCTACCACTTGTAGTTGGACAGATCAGGGGGCTAACCGGGGCTCTGCATTCTGGGGTTTTTAATTATCCTTGTGTCGTGATTGGGATAAAATCGAGCTATTCAGTACGCAATAGCCGAACAGTCGTGAAGAATGAGAAATCGAGTACCCTAGAATTGGGCAATTATTTATAATTCATGGTCTGAAAGGCGTCTCTAAAAGAGAAAACCTATATGATATTGCTTTAGTGCACACATGGTTTGGTTGGAAGACAGGTTAAGGGACTATCTGGGTTTCCTGGTTCTCAAAGTGAATTTTATGCTACCCTTCCAAACAAGCTGGTTTCTCTAGTAACGCTGCAAAAGCCCACGTATATCCCGAAGGCCTTTCTTAGTACTTGTACTCGTTACGGCTGTGATCATGCCTGATCTGGACGGCCTCAAGGATGTTATGGACGGTAAATGTCCATGTGTGACGATTGGCGGCAACGGATCTGGAGGGCTTCACCCAGTCTCTTCTCCTGCAACGGAGGCCGAAGATAGAAGGTCCAAGAACTGCTTCCATGTCTTGATGGATGGTGTCGAGCCAAGTATGCAGTTGCCCTCCTCTTCGACGCCTCCAGGGGGGCTGCGGCGCCGGATAGACGGCAGCATAGCTACGCTCGTGGGGCGGACGACAGAAAACGTGCCCAAACCACCTCAGTCGCCTTTTTTTGAATGGTCTGAGATATCCTTGCGATACGATCGCAGTGGGTGCGGACTGCCTCATTCGACATGCAGTCTTTCTTAGTGGACAAGAGCAGCATAGGCAATTTACTACACTTATTAGCAAGTATACTGCCGCCAACTAAGGGTCTGGCAGAGAAAGTATTGATGACATCGTCAACCGAATCAAGGTCGCTTGTAGGACTTTCTCGTCTAGAAAGTTGTTTATTGACCCGTTGTGACGGTTCGATTAGAAAATACCCGCATATATTGGATATGCACCAGACTGGTCGTTCGCTAAGCATAAACGATGTATTACACAGAATGCGACTGATAATTGGAAATATTCAACCACATACCCGAGAAAGAGCTTAAAAGTGGAATACACAAATTCACTCTCAGGCAAGAAAGTTTACATTGGCGGGCAGTGCGTTGTAAAGGTGGCTCAAATCATCTACAAAAGACCATTGAATTGGTTTGGAAAGGCGACTGTCGCTGAAAACAAAAAGTAGCGCACATTGACAAGGAATAAGTGGTATTCAGTCACAAAGCTCCTATGAGGAACGTGAAGATGTCGAGGTCGTACTTAGAGCCCTTGTATTCGGTTACAACGGCACCCTGTGTACCAAATTGAGCATGGCTACCTCAAATTTTCGCAGGCACAGCAAGTACGAGCGCAAGACTTTCATAGCAACTTGATACGAAATGAAACAATACGACAGGAGATAAATCTAATGAAAGGAACGAGTAAACCTAAAACATTGTAAGTCTGCCGAAATTATTTTCCCATGTTCAGCTAATTTGATACAATGTCTAAAATGCATACCTCCCTATTTTGATCATAGCTAACAGTGCATGTCGTTAAAGGTAAATGTAAAAAAAATACAACCGAAGACTCACTGATTTGTTACAGGTCCAACGTGGGGAAGCAGTGCTCTTAGGGCATTTGGAAGATTAGCCATATGTCTCCTTTTCGTCTCTATTTTTTGCAATTCAGAAAACTGTTCAAAAGTACTCTGAGCCGCTGTCGAGCCCACAAGATTAACGAAACGCGTGACGTCAACTTGATGGCTGTAGCGGGACATAAAGGATTGCCAGTTTACCAAAAACTCCGATGAACACCTCAAAATGTGGTTAACAAAAGCCTCTCGAGCAATGCGATACTCTTCATCACGCTCTCGCGAGGCCTCCTGATAGGAAAGGGGTCGGATTTTGCTGAAGCGAGGTTTATTGTCCGCCAAGCGCACAATGGTTCCGAAGGCCAGCTCCACGTTTATGTTGCAGTGGGAAGAGACTTCAATAAGTGGAACCCGTTTGAAGTCACTAGATTTCTGAAGCATTTGATGAAATTCCTGCAGAACCTGCTCGTCTACTTTGTCGCGTTTCGTCGCAACGAGCACAAGAGGTTTTTTGCGCTTGAGAAGAACAGACAAAATTTCGGCGAAGAAAGAAAATTGATTCTGAGCACAGCCACCAGGCAGGTCACGTGTATCAGGACGGAGGCGCTGACTAACGTCAAAAAGTAGAAGAAAGCCCGTGATTTCGAGTTCGCGATCAGGCAAGTACTCCTCTCCATATCGCTGCTCGTGGCCCAACTGTTCTGTACAAATATAACGAAGTTTGTTTGGTGAGTAAAGCTTTACACTTGTGCTCCTTCGGACGTACTCATTGTGAGTGCTTGATGAGTGAGAATCTCTACATTGGTAAGAGGATATTTTTGGGGAGACAAAGGGGCAAAAGGTTACATCGTTCACAAATTCAGTCTGCTCAACAACACGAAAGCGCGCATTCGTCTCTTCGTCGATTCGGCGGACAACAGTGCCCCAGAATAACCAGTGCTCTGAATTTATTACGGGTCCGGCAAAATCCGTTGAACTGATCACTGAGGTATGGACTTTCTCATAAAAGTCCGGATGCGGACAGACAAATCGGTTACACAGGCATGATTTTCCTGATTTTGGATAGCCCACCACGCATACCGTATATATTGGTAAGCTATCTTGGTCAGGGGAGACGCTGAATAACCGCGTTGGGGAGATCTTACTCCGATTAGCTCGTTGACAAACACCAGGTTCTTGAAGAGCCTGAGGAATTTGGCTGGTCGAGACTTGTTGCCGGGGTAAGAAACTGAATTCCGATAGTCTAGTATTGCCTGTCGCATGGACGCCATTGTATGTGAATTGACCTCGGGGGCTGTCCTTCGACATCCAAAGGCAGACGTTATTAGGACCATAGAGAGTATAGGTGGGAATACCTGAAAATACAAAGCATGAGCAAGTGAACCTACTTGTTGTACCAGAATTATAAAGGTGTTCCCCTTCTGGGATATTAAATTAATCTTTCCTGGAGATATATCACATGGCTGACAGCTAGTAAACAGATGTCGTATGTGCATAAGGTTTGGGAGGAGATTA